GTCTCTGTCTCTGTCTCTGTCTCTGTCTCTGTCTCTGTCTCTGTCTCTGTCTGTCTCTGTCTCCCTCTCTCTCTCTCTCTCTCTCTCTTTCTTCTTGGTCATCCCAAGATGGCAGTATGAAATGACTTGTTCCTTATCTTAATACCCAGTTTTTGGCACAAAAGTATGAAATTTTAATGAAGTGCATAGAAGAAGACCATACTGTGCCTTTTCTAATGAAGAAAGTATGAGATTAGGGAAAATGTTGTGGTTGTGCTGGAGAAAGATCTCAAAATAGATTGTCAAAGGTAATATGCATACGACTATGGTTATCAGAGTGGGGTTGGGATATTAAAAAGAACAGTAAATCCTTATAAGGTGTGGTCTGCTGCAAGATAGGACGAGAGGAAAAATGGAGAGTAAGAGAGATGGAGAAAGAAAATGAGATAGCAAATAGGAACGAGAAGAAAGTCAGTCAGCCAATCAGTCTTGATAGAATTAACAGATGGAAGTGCAGAGTTATAGAACAATGTCATAAAAATGGCATAGAAGAAGAATTTTGGAGTTGGCTCGTAGGATGGCAGAATCATTAGAGGGAATAATGATTTTCTATAGCCAAGTGTAGGCAACCAGTACCTGAAAAATGTCCCATTGAAAGATAAACATCAACCTTGACTCATTTCAAGAGGGCAATACACCTCCCTGGACATTTTTCATATTCTTTTGGCAGCGAAGATTCTGATGGCAATAAAGATAGCTCTCTTCAGTCCCAGTCAGCTGCTTGAGGTTCCCCCACAGAAAGGAATGAGTAATCTGAGAATGGGAGATCTTTGGCTATATGGTAAAGATGGGAATGTAGAGACAATATGATTCCTCTTCATCAGAGAGAAGCAGAGAGAGAACTCTAAGACAGAATGTGGGCAAATCATCCACAAAGAAAGAATTTGACTAACTTAGGAAGAGATCAGTGTGACAAAGTTGTTGCTTCCTCTCATGAAGAAAATGTTTGTTAACTTGTCTTTTATAAGTAATCTAACTGTCTAGCTTTAACAAAATGTATGAACATTGACCTGCTTAATGTTCCCTGACCTATGGAAGCCAGGAAGGAAAGTGGGGAAAATATGCACATCCAGCAGCCTAATTACAACTTGTACGTAATGTTTACATAAGGGATTCTTTCAAAAACAAGGTTTATGACCAGTTAGGTAACTAAATGACAACTGTTTGTATTGCTGAATTATGGTGTATTCTCTCTATACAAAATAATGCATCATTTGTTCTGAGCTGGCTTTTAAGAAGACACCAGTCAGTCACACTTCCTTCCCAACATCAGGTTTCAACTAAAGAGGCAGCAATTCCAAAAGACATAGGAACATGTTTAATAAATAATAAATAAATAAATAAATAAATAAATAAATAAAAGGAACATATTTAATAAATCAAATGATTTTTTTAAAAATAGTCACATTTCCTCAGATGCTTGTTATTCTTTTCAGGGAAGATATATAATTACCCTGTGCCATATCCTATTTCTTACTATAGTCTTAGATGGTTTGGTCTGAACAATAAAATACAAAGAACAGAACTTTGTTGAAATCCTTACACATGTAATTGGAACATAATGCCTTCATGTCAAGATGAAATCAGTTGGTGCTGCCTAAGATGGATGTGGGAACAGTGTAGTATGGTTACACATTTAATTTACAATTAACTGACTGCAGGACTGCATCCTATGCTAACTTGAGCATCAGTGAAGTGCATGAGCTGCTATGAAGCAGCTGAATGCTTTCATGGTCTGAGCATAAGATCCTGGATATGATTGATGATGGAGTTAGTGCATGCAAGTCAAAAGCACTTGAATTTCTCTTTCCCTGAACACTTTCAAAATGCACATCAGATCCCAGATTAAACCAAATTTATGTTTCACTTTATGCATCATTTTGAAACACTTCATTTACTTGTCCTGTATGTATCCAGAAGCACCAGAAATGAAACAGGGTTAGAACATGACTTGTATAATTTGGAAATAAAGTTTAAAAGGATGAGAGTTGAGTTTTAAAACAAAAGTCAGCAATAACGATAGGTCAAAACAAAATCCCAAGATTGTCCCTCTTAAAAAATATGCAACGTTCTGCAGGTTGTCAAAAGTATTGGAAAGATAATCCAACATTGCATCATATGTACACTATTATCTGTGTGGTAAGTGCGTTAAGAAATATATATTCCTAAACTGGAGAAATGCTCTTTACACTAGGGCATATCTTCCTCAATAACTCATGACTGAGAATCTGCTAGAAGTTTTAAGGGAAAAGTGTTGTTTCAAGAAAGACTCAATTTTTCTACAAAAGTGCACAGTTCAAGATTACTGAAAAATGAATAGAGTTCTTGAAATATTCAGCTTCAAACATTCTACTTTCCCTTTAATGGTTAAAAACAACAAATGGAATGTAGTCTAAATTTGACTTTGACCTCATGATAAAATAACAGATCCTGGTGGCATGTTAAAAACTACATATTTAAAATATGTAGTCTTTTTGGTGTAAGGTATTTCCAATTATTTTTTTCATCCTTTAGAACCCAGGAAATTGAAACGTAAGATATACATCTTTAATCATGTCAGTTGTAAATATTTCATTCAATTTCATGTGCTCGGATGGTTTTACAAGTCAGCGTCCACAAACCCACAGTTTACTGTAGATTTTAGTCTGGAGAAGAATATATATCCAGCCAGGCATTTAATGGCTTCTCAGGTCACTAGCTAGAAACAGATTTGATGAACATTAAGGCTTTGTTGAGAGAGAGGATGTTACCACCTGCCTTGTAGGATGTGGTGGCATGCCCCCTTCTCAAAAGGCCATATTTGGATCCTACTGTGTTGGACAACTTTTGCCCAGTCTTGACCCTTCCCTTTTTAGGGAAGGTTGTTGAGAGGATGGTAGATGCTTAGCTTCAGAGGGTTTTGGATGAAGTGGATTATCTGTATCCTTTTCAGTCAGAGTTCAGGCCAAATTGCAGCATTGGTGCGCTTGTGGATGGCCTCTGGAAGGCTTGGGATGGAGGTGGTGCATCTTTCCTAACCCTCTTGGATCTCCCAGCAGAACTCAATATAATCAACTATATCTGGACCAGCTTCAGGGGTTGGGAGTGGAGGGCATTGGCTTTTGGTGGTTTCCTCTTCCTCTGTGGTGAAGTGTCATCTTTGATTCTAGCTGAGATAGCACTTACCTGGACAGAGCAGGTGTGCAGTTTAGGTTTTCTCCTGGAGTTGCAGCTCCTTTTTGAAGAGCAGGTGGCAGCTGTAGCCAGGGGGTTCTTGTATAGATTCATCTTTTGCACCAATTGCAGCCATTCCAGGACTGGGAGGACTTGCTCACAGCCACTCATGCCCTGATCGATTCCCAACTAGATTCCTGCAACATGGTCTACATGAGGCTGCCCTTGAAGACCACCCAGAAGTTACTACTGGTCTAGAATGCAGTCTCAAACACAATGTTGGGTGCTTCGTGGTCTGCCTGTATTACATTGCTGAAGAGCTGCACTGGCTTCCAGGTTCTTTCAGTGTACAATTTAAGGTTACCACTTTCAAAGCACTGAATGGTACAGGGCCAGGTTATCTGAGAGACCATCTCTGCCTGAGGGTATTTGCCCATTCTATCAGGTCAGGTCAGATAGTGTGGGCACACTCCAGTTCATTTCCTTAAAAGTTATCTGGTGGGACCCAGGAAGCATTCCTCTGTAGCAGCCCTCGTCCTGTGAAACAGAAGGCCTTGAGGAGATGACTTATCTCACAAGCATTGAGGTGGGATGAGGCTGGAGCCCTGGGAAATTGAATGTGGCCATAAGAAGGAGTGTTTGCTTTGGGGGCACTGGGAGTTTTTGTTATGGTTTTATGTTTTTGTTATGTTTTTATTGTTGTTTTGTGAGGGTTATGGCATATAACATGCTCAGCCATATAAGTTTTTTCAACAAACAAACAAACAAACAAACAAATGCCTGTTGCATTTCTGTAAGACTTATAGTCCTTCTCCCAAATTATACTTACTACAGTAACTGGTCAGGCAGAAAGTGAACAGATTCACAATCCAACCACTGTACATATGTGCTTAAATCATTAATCATAGATCATGGATGGAATCTTTTGAATGCTTGTCAGCTGTTCTTGTTCCCTTTTATGGCCCATCACATTCTAGCATAGTCTCTAATATCAAAGCAGGTAGGGTAATGACATTCACACATAGGAATACATGAATAAATAAATACAATGGGTAGGAGATATCTGGTTCCTCCAGTTTAAAAAAAAATCAGCTAAGCTATAGATAATTTTGGATGGAATCCAGAAAGATATATGCATTTTGAAGTAAATTTCTAATATAAAACTCTTATTTGTATTAGTCTTTTCCCCAGTGGAATAAATAAATGAGAAGATAACCTGTGACAGATGTGTTCCTAGTCAGTAGGGAGGAGCTATAAGATAAAAGTTCTGTATAATGAGTTTTATTTTTAGATTCTTGATGACCCTGGAGTATTTTCTCTGGCTTGGGGTGTTTTCTTTCATGTTTTCATGATACTGTTGTTGAACTCCAGCTGTTGAAGGTTTTTTTCCTTTGCTTTTTTATGTTTTTCATTGGGCTTTGGTGGTTGATATGGCTGAGGAAATCTTGTCAAGGAATTCTTATCTTTAACTTTATTTTGGACTTAGCATGGACATGTTCCTATACTTTTAGAGCCCCAAGTCAGACAACTAGGGCAGTTGTCTCTCTGTAAATTTGTCTGCACTGAGGTCTCAATTGAATACATACAGATCCTTACAGCTGCAGATCTTTTGTGTAACAGTTCACTATATTTTGCCTTTCTAACAAGGCCTGCTAACATTACATTTATAAAGTGAGGATGATAAATCAGCATTGCTTACAGTTATGCTGCCTGGACCCAGAATGGCATAATATCTGACCAGACTGGCAGAATAATGTATATCAGTGTTTTTCTAACTTGGCAACTTTAACATTTAACATGCTGGCTGGGGAATTCTGGGAGCTGAAGTCCACACATCTTAAGGTTGCCAACTTTGAAAAACAGTGACGTATATTAAGATAAGGTTGCTGCCTTTAGTCTCCTGGGCACAAAGGCCTGTTGGCACCCATTGAAATGCTTCATTTCACCAAGAAGCTATTTGTTCTAGTTATATGTATATTTATAATATTCCAACTGTCCTAAATCCACTGTTTTTTTTTAACTTCTTTTTTAGAGTTTACAAATTACAGCCATGGTCTTAAGTTCCACATGTTCCACATCCCATCATACAAAATAATCCTCTGTGATGGTAATTGGAGGCCTGAACCCACTCAGATACCTTTTCTGTGGCGCCCTTTCCCCATTTGTAGGATGCCTTCTCCAGAGAGGTCTATGTGGAGCCTATGTTATTATCTTTGAGTTCTAAGCAAATTTTATTCTTGGATGTCTTTTTATTTCAATTTTCTTCTATTACTGTACTACATGGTGTTGTAATAAATATTATTTCAGTGGCCTTTTATCATCTTGGACATTTTTAAATGACTGTTTTATTTGAATGTTTTGTTCATGTGTTTATTTGGGTTTTATTTTTTTCCCCTGTATGCTTTATGCATTATTTTTCTTGTTTTTACTGTATGTCCCCCAAAGAAGTTGAGGAAATAAATAACACAGATCCCAAAGATTGTGATGCTCAACTATAAAGAGTGAGGGGCAGGGGATACTATTGCTTTGTATTTGAAATGATTTCCGTGATAAAGTCATGATGACCTTTCTGATGAACACCAGTACTTCAAAAGGAAGAAAACAAAACAGCATTCTGGAAGGAACTCTTCAAAATATCATTGAAAATAATACAATTCAGCTTTATAAAACATAATATCTAAGCAGTTTTTTCCTTTAAAATCTATTTTTTTAACAACCTTAGTGGAAGCAGATTTTCCAAGGATATTGACCAAACCCTTAATTCTTCAAGTACTTTCTGCTAAATAAATTGTTTCAGTAATCATGTCTATCAGTTCCCTCAGTATTTAGTTGATACATAGAACCTAACATAATGAAGAAAAGTCTCATTTAATTCAAAGCTTCATATTGATTGTACCAAGCAAAAAGGATATGTGGAAAGAAATCCTCCTTTGCTAATTTTTTGCTTTGGTTTCTGATATGGAAAGGCTGTATTTTCCATGCATGTTTCTCTGTTGGAAGGACTGGCAACTTTGTCAGGCCCAGTGCACCATTCAACAATCTTAAGCAATGGCCAGGGGACCCCACACATTGAATAGCAGAAATCTGATTTGTAAAGGACAATTATATTTGCACTGATTGATACCAAGTTCTTATCCTAGCTGTGCTTCTAATTTTTGAAAAATTTCATAGAGATACTTTGAAAAAGCCCTCAAAAGCATTTCCCGGGAACACATGAAGGTAATAAGGTATAGAGCAATTGATACATATAGTTATTATGCTCTCTAACTGGTTGTCCACAACTATCCTGTGATCTCACTGCACATTTTCCCTTGTTGAAAAGATAGTTCATAGAGAAACGTCACATTCAACAGAATCCTCTGCATCACCTTTCGGGATGATAATAATTAAGTCATTTTTTAAAAGTATGCTATGATTGGTTTACTAACTCACTGTAGGACTTTGAGTAAAATAAGTGTAGTTAACACTAACATAATTCCAAGGTTAATTTATATTATGAGAGACCTTTCTTTTCTTTTTTAAAAATATTTTTAATTAACTAAAAAAAAGAGAAAACGTATACACACAATTATAAAAGAAGAAAAAACTGGAAAACAACAACAAAATCATACAAGATATATGTTTACAGATATCAATAAATTGAAGCCATGATCCATTATAGGCATCCATAGCTCAGAGACCATTTCCATATTTATTCCATCACATTATTTTAAACAAACTTACAACATACTGAATACACTTCCTTGGCAAAACTTCCTGTGCAAGTTTCATAGAGTTAATCACCAGCATACATTTTAAAAGCATACATTTAACTTTTCACAGTTTCATCATTATCCCTGGGCATTTATTCTAGCTTGAGCTACTATCTGGAATAGCAGACTTCCAAAATATAGCTCCTCTTTGGGCTCAATTTGAAAGATATTATTTGATCCACTGAAGTCCTATTTGTTCAGGGATCAGTTTTAATACTTGCACTCACTTTAATACTTGCTGTAAGACTTAAATGGAAAATATTGGGTAATCAAGTTATAACTATGACTTGATTACTGATGAAAAGCTTACATTGTGGATAATCTCAGTTTATATAGCATCTAGATCTGTTTTGGGGAGCAAACTTGGCCTCTCACAACATTATTATTCTGTAACAACTCAGTTCTCAGGAAGCTCTTTTTTAAACATTTGCAGAATTTTAAAACATGTCTTTGATTTACCTCAGAGTGCTTCTAGGCAGTATTTTTCCATTTAAAAACCTGTTACAGTGGTACCTCGGGTCACGAATGCTTCTGTTCACGAACAATTCGGGTCACGAACAGCACCGTTTGCAAAATTTTGCTTCCATT